GGGGGGGGGGGGTCCCGGTCCCGCCTGGCCGCAGGCACTGCTCCCCGACCCCCTCTGATCTCAGCCCCTCCCGTCCCAACCAGCCGGGCAGCTCCGTGGGGCTGGAGGAGGGGATGTGCGGGTCTGGCATCACCCCGACCCCGGGTGCGGGGGAACGCGCGGAGTGTCCCGGCTCTGAGGGAGACCTGCGGGCAGCTGGGACCCCGCGACGGATTTGGGGTGAGGGCTGTGCCTGCAGGAGGGCCTCGAGGGGCGGCGATGGAGCAGAGTCCCACAGGAGAGCCCCCTCCTCAAAAACCCGGCGCTGCCGCAGCTCCGCTCACCTCCCCGCCCCTCCGACGCCGCCGGGTCTCGGCCGGTCGCTCCGTTCCCACGGGGTTCACATGTTGGACGGCAGTTTGGGTTTCCCCGTTTCCACTTCAGGGCTGAAGGCCACGGAGCCCTTACGGGAGGGAGCCGCCGCCGGGCGGGGCGCCGACACCGGGGATTGCGGGGCGGGAGCTGCGGCCGCGGGGCGGTTCGGCTGCGCCGGGGATCCCGAAGGCATCTGCTGCGGGTGCGGGACCCCCGGACCCGGCTTGGAGAGGAGTCCGGAGACCGAAGGGGAAGACCTGCGGGCCAGGTTCCCCGCGGATTTCCTGCCCTGCTGCAAGGAGCTCCCGTCTGCTTGCTGGGCGACTTTATTGGGCAGGGAGGGCTGCGAGGCAGAGAGGAGGCGGACGTCCTGCGTGAGCCGCCCGACGGGCAGCCCGTGGATGCTCCGGTGCTTCACCAACTGCTGAGGCTGCATCAGGAGCGAGATGTGGGAACCGGTGGCTCTGGACAGGCTGTAATGGAGAGTCCTCCCCGCCGGCGGCTCCGAGCTGGGGGAAGGGGCTCCCGCCGCCTGCTGCAGCAGAGAAGTGGAGACGGAAGCGCCGCGGGACTTGGAGAGCTGCGGTTGGGCTCCCGCCGCCGCCGCCGGGGGCTGCTTGGCCGCCATCTCCCCCTTCTGCCCCACTCGTTGGGGGCCCTGAGCCCCGAGGCTCCCCTGAGCCCCCGGCCGCTGGACGCCGCTTTCCAGGGGCGCCTGGGACTGCAGCATGGGAGAAGACGGAGAGGCGGCGGCGGGCGTCTGCAGGTGGGACGGAGCCCCGGATGGGGAGCTGACGGAGGAGGGCCGAGAGCCCCCCAGGCTGGGCTGGGAGCGACGCACCGGTTTGGTGAGCAGCGTGGCCTCGGGAGAGAGGGGGCTGGAGATGGAGGAAGGAGGCAGGAAGATGTGGGCCTGCAGGCTGTGTTGGTGGGTCAGGGCGATGGCCACGTTGGTGGTGGCGGCGGCCGTTTGCAGCGGTGCGTGAACCAAAGGCTCCCAGATCACCGGTTTGCCGCTCAGCTCCCGGCCCAACGTCATCTGCTGCAGCTCCTGGATGTTGTGAGCCACGTCCTGGTCGTGTTTCACGATCTGCTGGATCATCTCGGTGTTGATGGGCCCCGCGCTGTGCTCGGCGCGCTTGCGGAGCAGGATGGAGTTTTTCTTGCCTGAGGGAGAAGCGGTTGGTGCGAGTGAGGCAAAGCGCTGCCATCGGAGGCACCGTTTGGGGGTGGGGAGGGGAGGAGCGAGGAATCTTCACTGGGTTTAGGGGTGGAGGCTTTGGGGAGGGTCCCGGCTTCAGCGCTGAGGGAGAAGTAGGAGCAAAGCCCCGGTCCCAAGAGCTCCAGGATGCATCTTGGGGCCGTTTGTCCTCAGCAGGAGAAGGAGGATGAGGACGAGCAGGGGGACGATGCCAAGCAGCACAAATGTGAGCAGCACAGCCCAGCAGTGCCCAGCAGTGCCCAGCACTGCCAGCCCAGCCCAGCACTGCCAGCACAACCCAGTACTGCCCAGCACAACCCAGCACTGCCAGCACAGCCCAGCACTGCCCAGCACAGCCCAGCACAACCCAGCACTGCCCAGCACAGCCCAGCACAGCCCAGCACAGCCCAGCACAGCCCAGCACTGCCCAGCAC